GGAGCAGGGATTTTGATGGAGAATACAGTCGGGTTCAGAGAAATTATACTGCCAGATTTTGAAGTTCTTGAAGCGGTAGGAGTCAAAATAGTTAGTGGAATGGAACCGATAAACATATTTTCAATTTACCTTCCACATGGTTCGAGCTTAGAAGCTATTAACGACCTTAAAAAGCTCTTTCAATGGCTAGATCTTCAGGAAGGAGAAATAATAGTAGGTGCTGACGTGAATGCACATCATGCCAGTTGGAGCCCCGAGTACCCGGAATGTCAGAGAGGTAGAACTTTTCACAGTCTAGTGACTGACTCGAACCTGATAATGCTCAATGACGGTTCGGCCACAATGAACTCCTCTCCAGGGACTAGAGAATCAGCGATAGACGTAACGTTAGCCACAGCGGGAGTAGTTAAGAAGATGACATGGGAAGTCGTGCCAGAAGAATTCGGGAGTGCTCATTTGACCATCAGCCTAGAGATGGGAAAGGAAAATCCAGTGGTGTACGGAACTTCGAAGAAGATAAATAAAGACAAAGCAATAAGATTGCTCAACGCGAACCGGCCTCAGTACATCTACGCCCCGGAAGAAATGCAGGATATCTTCGACGAAGCACTGGAGGAGGCATCATATGTAATCAGCAACAAGAAGAACAATTTTTTAAAGAAGTTTTGGAACAAGGACATCGACGACCTGTACAACACCAAGAGAGAGGCGCTGCGCATGTACAATCGGGACAGATCAAGAACAAATTTCATCGAGTTACAACGAAGAAGGGCGATGTTTAAGAAGGCGTTAAGAAAAGAAAAGAGAGCATATGTGAAGGAACTGAAGGAGAAGATCGACGAAAATACCCCGGCAAGACAGCTGTGGAACATTGTGAAGGGTGTCGACACTGGGTTGTCAGGAGGAAAAAAGAAAGTCATCGTAGCCAGCCGAGAGTTAGGAAGGGAGCTGATGGACTACTTCTTCCCTAACACGCCTAGTGAGGTTTTCTGCCCAACTGCGTCAACAGCGAAAGATCTGGAAGGTTTCGAAAACGCATTGAAGGACTATAAAATCTTGCAATGTATTAGAACGAGAAAACTTCACTCAGCAGCGGGAGAAGATGGACTATCGTACTACATCCTCAAAGGACTGTCACTAGACTTGCAGTTGAAGGTCAGTGAGATGCTGAATCAAATTTTCATGACGGAGAACATCCCCGAGAGCTGGAGACGAACAGAAATACGACCCATTCCGAAACCTGGAACCGATCCGTCGTTGCCTAACTCGAAAAGACCGATTGCGCTCATGAATGTTAACCTGAAACTGATCAACTCACTGGTAAAAAACAGAATATCGCAAGTCGCAGAAATAAACGATCTTATTCCGATGAGATCTTTTGGTTTCCGAAGTAATAGCTCCGCCACAACATGTGTCAACTATATTGTGAACACCATTCATGAAGTGAAGGCCCAAAACCTGGAGTGCTTGGTCGCATTTCTAGATGTATCTAAGGCATTCGATTGCGTTAACACAAACCAACTGCTGGTAACACTAAGGGATAAAGGAATTCCTGGGAAACTGATATCATGGCTGCACTGTTACATGAAACACAGGATTCTTGTTTTGAAGACGGAGGAAGGAGAGATTACGAAAGTGGTGAATGACGGATTGGCCCAAGGGTGCCCGCTTTCTCCCGTTCTGTTCAACCTCTACACAGCTGCGATCAGTCTTGTAAGCGGTCACGGTAGTTGACACATTTTCTGTGATAATCGACTGCATTTGCTCCCGACACTTGCAAAACAAGCTATGATAGTACAGTACCAAACTAAAATGTCATATGATAGGCTCTGTCATACGACACTGTCGCCGAAGACCGTCACGAATGTATGTATTTTAGTTTTTCTCATAATAAGAGCTGCTGATGTTGTGCTTGTGTGAATTCTGAAAATAGTAAGCAATGATGTCTTAGTAATAACATTTCTGATCAGAAATGGTTTAATTTACACCAAATTGAGGCATTACAACGAAATCACACATGTCATATGATAGTTATTTTGATAATTTTCTTTTAGCTCGAATGTTATTCTACCGTTCGTGTTGTGTGAGAGACACGATGGTAGAGGATGAGTGTACGAATACAAACAGACTGTCGTGCACGACAACGAAGCGAGTGTAGTAAAAAACGTCAACTGTTTCAACCCCTGGCTGCGATACATGAAGTAAACAACGAGGATTGCGAACTCGTGCAGTTCGCAGATGATTTTTCACTCATAGTGAGGGGGAGATCGTTGGAAGAAGCGGCGGAGAAGATGAACGTGGTATTGAGTACTGTTACGGGTAGACTTGAGGCGATAGGGCTGAAAATCAACCAAGCAAAAACGGCGATAATCCCATTCACAAGGAAGAACACGGAACACATCAAAGTTAGGATCCAAGGAGTCAATATAGAACTGGTGACCAAACTATGGTCTTAGCCGTCTGTAAAGACAACCAAAGAAAAAAAAAAAAAAGTTGAATAAGTATTTTTTAACTGAAGATGCAATTCAAGCTGAAACTTGCATAAGGTCCTAAGTAAGATTGACAGATTCTCTTCGTCGACTTTCCATTTGTATCCCCACGACCAGGGATGCCATTCTCCCCAGTGTAAGCAGGGTGATGAGTTGAAAAGACACCTCGCACTACGACAAAAGCAAACTCACCCGGAGAGATCTTTATTTTGTTTTCACTATATACCGCTTCTCCAACTTCGCAAACAAACACAGCTTCTGACGTTCGCACCTCCACCAGTTCATCACACCAGAGAATATGAGTGATCACTTGGGAGCACCGTAGAGAGTTCGTTTGCTTCACCGGGGAGAATCACCCCGGTGAAGACTTAAGTTGTTAGTTTGTTGGATACAAAGATTTTTTGAAGGTTACTTTTTCTATTAACGTTCAGTATGTAGTCAATTTTTTTAAATTTTTGTAAAATCATAATGTACATATTTTGGAAATGCGAATACGGGAAGTGCATCAGCGAAATTTGCTTCTGTTTAGTCGACAGACAGATATGAGACAGATATCGATTAGGATCATAGCGGGAGTTCCTCATGACTCCATCCTTGGTCCAACGCTCTGGAATGGGATGTACAATGCTGCCCAAAGGAGTTGAGATCGTTGGATTTGCCGACTACGTCGTCTTGACGGTAACAGGCGAGACGCTGGTAGAGGTGGAAGTGTTGGCGACCGAGGCGATCGACATGATTGGTAACTGGATGCAAAGAGCGAAGCTGCAGATAGCCCACCACAAAATGGAAGTGCTATTGACCAGTAACTGTAAAACGGTACAGCGGGCAGATATCACCGTGGGGGGCACGACTAAACTTCAACAGCCACGTCGAATACGCCTGTGAGAAGGCTTCGAAGGCCATCAACGCGATAGCTATAATCATGCCGAACAACGCTGGTCCCAACAGTAGCAAGAAGCGTTTTCTGGCCAGTGTGTTGTCATCGATACTGAGGTATGGAGGTTCAGTCTGGGTTTCAGCGCTGGAAACGAAGCAGAACCAAAGGAAACTGAGCAGTACGTTCCGGTTTATGGCCATGCGAGTCGGGAGTGCGTACAGAACCATCTCGTCAGAAGCAGTATGCGTAATCGCCGGAGTAATCCCTGTCGCCATCGCCCTGGCGGAGGACAGCGAGTGCTACAGGTGGAGAGATGCCGGAAAAGTTAGAAAAGTTGTGAGAGTGGAATCGTTGGCTAAGTGGCAACAGGAGTGGAACACGGCGGAGAACGGTAGATGGACACGTAGACTAATACAGATTTTTTCGACCTGGGTGAACAGAAAACACGGAGACGTCAACTTCCACCTAAAGCAGTTCCTGTCTGGCCACGGCTGCTTCAGGAAGTACCTGCATCGGTGTATGAAACGCCGGAGCATGTGGTCTTCGACTGTCAAATGTGCGAGGCATTGCGAAGGGAGATGACCGTCCTTAACGTGGAGAATGTCGTCGATGGAAGGCACTTGGAATGCCATCAGCAGCTGCAGCGAAAATGGAGAGAGGTGTAGTGATCTAGCAACACCATAACTCCTGATGAATATTGACGAGATGCCGCTTCATGTTGAATACCAAGTCAACTTTGAATGTTTTTCCATTTGCCTTGCAAAGCAGAAAACTCACAACCACCTTTTTGGTACCGTCGTCAACCCGCACTTTTTTCTTCGTGAATAATTTCGCACTTTGTCCCCTTGTATACGTTTTTCAGTTTTTTTTTTATTTATGTTTTCACTCACTCACGTAAGCTCTGCCAGAATCTTTGGAGAAACAGTAACGCCTTAGCGCTGCCATCTTTCTCACGGAAGTGAGTGTATAAACAGACAAACAGAAAACAGTCAACTCTCTCACTCTTTCGTGCTGTGTCTAACAATCTCTCCAGTGGTGCCAGGATAAATCTCCGAGGAGACAAGCAGAGATTCACCCAAGAGAATGATATCTCTCGCACCCGGGTGATTCTCCCCAGAGAATTTTCAACCCTGCCCACGACCATGTAAAGACATTCCCTGGTATTGTCAGCACACTGATCGATAAAAGAAGCTTTTATCTAGCATCTAATACGACAAACACAACAAGAAACGGTTATGTGCCCAAGTTATTAACGGAAGAGAAAGTCGACGAAGAGAATCGATCAATGTTACTTAGGACCTAATGCAATGTTCAGCTTGAATTGTTCACCTGAGTTAGCTCTTATTCAGCGTTCAATGTTTGTTGAGAGTCCCAATTTAATTTAATTATTCCGAAAACCAATGTTTTTACAGTGAGTGAGTGGAAGCAACCATGGTTGGGAACGTAACTGACTGGATTCTCATTAAACGTGATTTGGAAGCAGGCTGGAATTGATTAGAAAACTTAATTTTCAGGTCTCATTTAATATAACTTTGCATTGTAAAGTGAGCACATATTTCGAATATTGAAAAAAAAAAATCAAGAAGACACGCTGTTAACTAAGCCATAAACTGTTTTTATTCAATCAGATTCCAAATTGTTCGCGATTAAATAGGAGATATTGCATAGCAAAGAGCATGTGTTACTATTCAATGTGTATAAATTATTGTATTCGTTAAGGGAAATCTCCTTCGAATCGATGATGTCGACCTAAAATGTTAACAATAATACTCGTGTAGGCAAACTAGTTCGTCATTCAGCGTACATGTGAATGTGTGTCATCTGAATAGGCCGAATGTGGATATTTTCTATCAGCAACCATCATTCCGAGCTTCTTCGTCCCGTTCTCAGTGGATTTGCAATGGGGAACTCCTTATCATCTATCCGCCGGGTACGATCGGTGAAATCCTGCTGAAACACGTGCATTTCAACCTCCTTCCGGTTGGCCAGTTTTTTCGTCACTATACCACTGTATCGATCCTCCGGGATCTCGTACTGCGATACGCTGGCTGCACTGTTCCGTCGGCAGTCCAGATCGTAATTGTACGACCGTTGCAAGTTAAGGCTAACCGGAGGTGTTTGAATCCGTTGAACAGCTAGTGGCACCGTCGCCGAACGACTATGATGGGAGTGGTCTTCGTTAGCTTCCATAGCTGCATCAATGGGAGCTGGTGATCGGAATACTGTATCGTAACGAGGTTTCAGAAGCGAACATATCTCTTCAATTCCTTCCAGAGATTGCTGAACTTCACCCGTTGGGTTACCGGGCCGAGTATGCCGTCGAAGCACTTGTAGGTATTGTAAAAGTTTCGCCCGACTTACGGACATTATGTTGTAAGCTTCTTGCAGTTCAATTTTTAAAAGTTCTGGGTCCTACGAAAGAAAATGACATTAAGAATGGGTAGTGTTTTTACATATGGGTCTAATACATACATCTTCTAAATAACCATCACTAACGTTGGAATTTTTCAGAATTTCATTTTGGTTGGACGCAGCTGCCGCCTGTTTAGCGGCAATTGTAGCCCTTTCCCTCAACTCAACGGCCGTCGATTTTCTCAGCGAGCCGGACCCAGTATTACGAGGTAGCGAAGTTGTACGCACTCGGTCGTCCATGCGACTACTGCCCGGACGATCGGATGCTAACTGTTTTTTCTGCACGTTCGGCAACGTCGAATATTTTAAATACTCCATTTCTATGTTCTTTGAACGCATCACAGGTTGCTGAAGAGGTTGCTTCGGAGATGAAACATAGATCATCGCGCCCGGTGGACGTTCGTAAATCTGTGTAGAATCAAAATGTTATGCTTGTCGAAGGGAAAGGACTTTAGTTTTTGAATCCGTACCTTCGGTGATTTCATATGCAGAGCATGCCGAATAATTAGCGACACATCTGCGTTCGTCGGGTAGCGCATTAAGTACGTCAGGCAAGTCGTATAGTCGCTATAGATCACTAGAAACAAAAGTAGACAGGCTCAATTTTACTATAGTCGGTAATATTATTGAAAACGGGCAATACTCACACTTATCTCTAATCCTAATTAACATTGCAACGACGACAAAGTTGATCAAACTAAGATCCTCGCCTTCGCCAAAGATGGCATCCCAGAGCAGTAGCAAGTCTTGCAGTGCAAACTCTCTTCCGAACAGCAATCGGAGCCATCGGATGCCGAAAAGTGCCAATGGAATGTCTAATTTCAGCAGATGATTATTTAGATGAAGATCTTCTTTGATGAGTATTTTCTCTTTGATGTGATTTAACTGCTCGACCACTTCGATTTCCGGCTTTCGTTTGGGACCGGACGCCCTCGTATCAGGGCTTGACGGAGAGACAGGTGTCGCTACCGGAAAGTATCCGGTTGCCGTTGGGACCATATCCGCAATGCGGTAGAAGGACGCGATTCGATCCATGATTTTGGAGAATATTGCACTGAAATGGAAAGGTTAGTATGCATTAGGTACACTTGATGTTTCCGGTTGAAGAATCATATGCTTACAAGGAATCCTTTTCCACGTGTTCTGCATCGAGAACTGTCACCAAGTGTTGGCTAAAGAGAAACAAACAAACTTTATTAATTTACGTCATCGGATTACACCGCTGAGACTTGGCGTAAACTCATGGCTAAAAGCTCAAATTACAATATTGCATAAACGTTGACTTCAATCGTATATCGATGACTGTCATAGCCGAGGCTGCAGCTCAAGCTAAATAGTACCTAATGGCTTGAAGCCCGTTTAACATTTGACCTCGCCGGATTTTGGCAGTGCCAATCGTTTTTGAGGAACGTATCAAGGATACTCGAAAATTTGAGTTTCGACAAGCCGGTTGTGGAGAGCTTGTTGCTGATATATTTAGCTTTGACTGGCAGTCATTATAATAAGTTTTTTTTACGTAGTCATCTCTTCGCAGAAATCCGAAGTGGTTCTAGTCATTTGAGCGCTCGAAAAAGAACCAAATCGCTTCAACTTGAATTTGAACAGTTTGAATAGCTAAAATGGCAATTACACAGCGCTCATTTAGAATTTGTTTAACTGGTACCCACCTGTGTAGGGGTACCAGTTAAACAAAATTCTAATTGAGCGTCGTTTGTTTAACTGCCATTTTAGCTAAACGGCGAATGAGAACAACTCAAATTTGAGTTTAGTTCACTCATAATCGCTAAAAGTGCAGGAACTCAGCGATGAGTAAAATTTGTCCCATGGTTTCCTGTGGAAAACCTAAAAAATCTGCCGGAAAATGTGGAAATTGACGAAAATTTTATTCAGTCTCGGAGTAGTACCAATAGACTGAGTGAATCAAATCTTTACTTTTCTCAAATTCGCGAATTTTTCCCTGGAAAAACCTGGGAAAACATGAGGCAAATTAACTCATCGCTGAGTTCCTGCACTTTTGGCGATTATGAGTGAACTAAACTCAAATTTGAGTCGTTTTCATTCGCCGTGTATGCAAACTAACGGAGTTCTACGGTTATGTTTGAAGGAGAAAAACTGTTCCCTTTGATTAAAGCTTCAGCAGACCATCAGATAATAGACTTAAAATTCCAACTACTTACTCAACATCCGGATGCAGTTCCTGAATGTGTGCCAACGCTTGCTGGTCGCTGTGTATGACAAATATCAACGGAGCCAGAATTTCGTGCATTCCTTGCCGGTAGCACATGGCCGGATACTTGCGCGCGTAGCAGAACAGAATGTTAATCATTATCTCCTGTACATGCACTTTCCGGAAGAAGTCAACCCCGGGAAAGGTTCGCACCACATCCTGCTTGATGACGGAACACAGTTCCTGGTCGCAGAAGTGTTGATTCCAGAGGCTTTCCTTCGACTGCGACAACGGGTCATCTCCTCCGTCCGAGTTGACGTGAGGATTTAGCATGTACTTGTTCTTTAGCTCGGAGTATTCTCGTCTGCTGGCTGCCCGTTGACTGGTCCATTCTTTCGACGGAGGCTGAAGCACTCCAAGAAACACGGCCCAACATATGCTACGGAAGGGAGATGCGCGAAGATCACCTCGCACTCCGGCGTGCCGTAGATCGTAGAGAGTCTCGTCGTTGGCAATAGTCAGTATGTTTCGCCATTCTAATCTGGAAGGTGCAACATAGAAAGTAGTCCATCTGCACAGGAAAGACTTCATTCAATACTTACTCGTACTTATCGACACCGGATAATCCACGTCCCATTCGTTTACCGTCCTCTTCCGCGTGAACCGAGAGATCCACCATTGTCCTCAACACAGAAACGCAATTTAATCAAAAACAACACCGTCGACCATTCAAGGGTGACACAGAACAATGCAATAGAACTGAAAGGAAACCGAATGGACGCACTCTGCTACTACAGCCTACCAAATCCGATTGAGCTTAGGAACTGTTAAATATTGACGCTGTTCATTATCACCATTTTCCTTATCAGTGGTCCGTCCTGAGTCAGACTTTACTGCCGAAACAATAAAACAGTACGCACCACTGTAGCAATTGATTTGTCAGCAACTCGGCAACATTGACAAAAACTTTCTCTTTCGGTTTTCAGAGGAAGAGGAATCGCAAAAAATAGTAAAACTGGCCAAAAAAAATACTGAGGATTCTGCTGCTGGTGATGATAAACAAAAACATACTGCTTTGACATCTCGTAGCCGCTACAAATCATAACAGCTGTCTGTCAGGAACTCACCGTTTTGAAGTGTCGGTACAAAACTGAAAGTGAGATGCTCATGCTTCTGAGTGAGGGAGAGTGAGAGTTTTGAATGTTGAAGGCGGCACTGCGCGCGCGTATCCATCGGCCATGTGCTTTGTAATTTTTGTATTTTTTAAAATTGGAAATCGAAACGGCTGGTTGGGACTCGGGTTCTATTTCTGCACACATTAAATTAAATTTCTTGTAGGGGAACTGGTGGTAAAATGAGCACCCTAAGCAATTCCACCGTTTTCTCTTTTATAAACTAATAAAATATTTGTCTTACTGCGTAAAATTAAGCTTCCCTTCATATTTAAAATAGTGGACTATAGCAATGTATCAAAAACAACAAGTTTTCAATTTAATTCCTGTATTTCCACGAGCTCATAATACAAGGCTGATTTTTTATATGCGGTTAAAATGAATATGTATTGGGGGGTAAAATGAACATACAGAGAGAGTAATTTGCTCCAGTGCGGCGGGGAAATTAGCATTATTTTAAATAGTTATTTTTCAACGATTACGTAAACTGCAAATCTTCAACATAGCTTTAGAAACAATATTGCATACAGTTAGGAATAAACGTTTTCAAAATGAATGCCGGAAAATGCAGAGTTCGCCAGTACTTTCCACGAATAAATTAAACATCTAGTATTAAAATTAGGTAAACATGATAAGGTTTCCTCATAAAAGCTGTTAAAAACAGTAATTAAGGTAAAAAACCATTTATTCAATCAGTAATAATTCATGGAACAAATCAAAATAATGAGTCGTAAATCAACAATCAACAAATCAAAAAAGTTATGTATCAGTTACATATGCGACATCGAAAACCATCATCGTTGCTACATTTAGCATGAAACCAATTCAAACAGGCGAGGCATTTCCTCCACCCATAACCATCACTTGAATCAGAAAAAGAATCACCACACAATTCGCATAAGGTATCTTCGCAACGTTCATCCGATATTTGAAATTTAACTCGCTTCTTTGGTAGTATTCGCCCTTTCTTGATCGACTTGATGGTTTTTGTTGCCTCAGATGTAGCCAGGTCTTGACGGTAGCTTTCGGTGGTTATCTCTACTGCCTTTTCCGATTTACGCTTTCGTTTTGTTACTCTAGGAATAGACATCTTCGGCAAAGGTAAAATTTGTGACGGTGTGATGTTGAATGATGAGTTCGGAGAGGTTTCAGAAACTGGATCAACTTGAGTGACGACAGAAGAATCTGGTCGACCAATTAAAGGCTAGTCCGTGCTATCGTGGTATTCTGGTGGAACAACTGAATCAATGGTAAAAACCGGAAGTGTTACTTGCTGCACTGCCCAAGCAACCTAAAGTTCGGATTTTACTTCAGGAACGAACCTAAAAGTTCACATCTGGTTCAAATTTAGTTCCGTGGAACTTTCTTGCTTATTAACAAGGCACTACACGTACAAACAGAACTTAATGCTTTTTAAAGTACCGCCAATATTTATTGGAATCTTGAAAGTTCAACAGAAGTTTCTTGTTCCCGTTTAGTTGAACTGTGAAGTTCACAAAAAGTTAATAAAGAACTTGTTTCGAACCTCTAACACAAAGTCCAATATTAGTACTAACCGTACTTTAAAGCAGCGCGATAGTTCACAATTAAGCTATGTTGAACTTCTTTCAGACTTTAAAGTACACGTAAAGTTCTAGATAAGACTTTGCAACAACTTAAGAAAAATGTAAACAAAGTTCGAAGGAAGTTCGACTTGAACCTTGACTTGAACTTGTAAGCAACTTTAGAAATGTCAATTTAAGAAATGTTGTTTACGTTTGAAGAGTAAAACCATAGAGGTAACTCTAAGACCACTGGGTCCCGAAGAAAATCATTATTATTTTTGGCTCACTCAGTACCAGAACAACGGTCCCAAGCAGTCCCAAGCTATTTCACTCACCCCTGCATGTTCTGCATGAATCCACACACCCCTGATGTTATCTGTCAAACTTTCATAGCGAATCAAAACAAACATAGTGTAGTAATAGAATTTGAACTAGAATAGGGTACGTTAATCATTTGCTTGGGACCAATAGGCTACTAAAGTGGTGAGCCAATTTAAAATCGTTAGTTTTGTATTGATTGTTGGTAAAACGGTGTTCTGCTCCAATCTTGAATATAGGTACAAAAGCGTAAAATGGATTTTTCGAAAACGATAAAAAAGAATGGCTTATTTTATTATCATCGCAATAAACTGTTGGCGCAATGGGAAGCGGAAAACAAAGCTGCCGATCAACCAGGTAATATATTATCTTGTAAGTTTTTGTTAATAGCAAATACCTAGGCAAATACTCTTATTTATTTTACAGGAAAACAACAGCCTACCACATCTAAGCAAGCTTCGATACAAAAAGAAATTGAAACAGATTTTCAAAGAAATACTGTAACATCCGAAGAAGTTAAACCTGAAGACGAAGACAGTGAAATTGAGGATTTTTTTGAGATTGAAGACGACTCATTCGATGATTCAGGTCCATCATTCGAAAAAGAGCAATATAGTGATGCATTGGATCAAATGGATTTAAGTGAATGCATTAGATATTGGGCTCTCAAAACTATTCAGTCACATGAATCCATAAATCTGATTATGGAAATAATCAGAAGGAAAACGAACGGGAAAAGGTTACCCCGCTCCGCAAGAACCTTATTGAAAACATACCGGCAAGCAACTTCCGAAATTGTTGAAATTGCTGGTGGACAATATTGGTACCAAGGTAGCAAGCAATGCCTGAGTGATTTTTTCCGGTAAGATAAAATTGTGCGCTTTTCTTGTTTAACACAAAGAAAAGGCATATAATTGTTGATCTCTGCACTCTCTTCTTAATATTCTCGTAAATAAAGCAAAAGAAGAAGTACTTTATACACCTGTTTTATTCTTCATCTACAGGTTTACAGAACAGTCACTAAACATCTCGATAAACATAAACATTGATGGAATTCCACTCTTCAAAAGCAGCAAGATACAATTTTGGCCTATATTGTTCAATATTTCGGAAATGCCTGAAATTGCACCGATGACGATTGCTATATTTTATGGAAAAACCAAGCCGACTAGTCTAAAATTTAAAATCTAAATTTTAAATCTAAATTTAAAAATAAAAAAAAAAAACAATTAAAATCCTTTTCACCATCGAATCATTCAAAATGTCGAATCGGATGGAGTATCAGCATGGTACTCTACGCGTCCGATGAATCAACGTCCGAATCAGATTCACTGCGAATGTGCGAATTGCTAGTGTTGCGAATATGCGAATGACTACGTTCATCATCCTGTCCGTTCAATACAATTGATGGAATAAAGATCGACCCAGCATCACTTTCAAATTCAACTTCTTGTTCATCAGTCTCTCGTTGTTGTTTTCTTCTTCTTACATGTCTGGTTCCTCGACGCATGCCAGTAGCGATCAAGCGTTTAAGAGAGTTTTTGAGTTTTCTCATGAAAAAACTTGCCAGCTTCTGATGGGTGACAACTTCTACTTCATCGGTTCCAATCTGTTGAAATAGTTGCAGAATATTGCGGTTCGGCATTATAGCTATTTTTGGTCCCTTCCGACTTGCTCCAGTCCAGGTGCATTTAGTTTGAAACAGGGGGAATGACACTAATTCAGATGAATTTTATGTTACCATGCTTGCCTGTAAAGTAATGTAATTGATGAGAGTTTTTTGAGTTTGTCGTCTTAACGAAAATAGAGTAAGTATAAAAAAATATATGGGATTCCTAATGGGATTGCATTGGATGCGAGCGTGCTTTAAATTGTCATGGGGATGCGTGCAACTGAAATGAAACAGTACGAAAGAACAACATCGAAGTAGCCATTTTAGTCAATGCTAAGTGAAAAATAATGTTTGGATGGTGACAGCTGGACTACGAAAGCCCTCTACTGATAGAATGTATCGATTCCACGACGAAACTGCAAAAACCTTTAATTCTAAACACGCATACGAAATTTGTGACAGCCAGCAGAAGTGGCAGCATCGCGGATTCGTGTAGCCGTTACCGAGGCTGGAAACCTCGGTCCCGTCTCGACACTGTGATCTTCACAACCGATTTGCAACTCTCCACAGATTAACTTAAAAATTCTACCCTGAATTTGAACTCACAAAAGTGACTTGGAGTGACAGTCTAAAATCTCTTAGAGCGCTTTTTAAAACTACCTTTAATACCATCTGAAATAACTTGTTATCCCTGACATTCATTCTAAAATCTACTCAAAATTCTAAAAAAGTTTAGTCTGGTTCAAGAGTCTTAAAACTTTTCAAAGCCCCATTTTTTTTTCTGAAAAATAGATTAAGTAATTTTTTCCCCGATTTTTCATTGAAATTCCCGGCTTTTTCCCGATTTCCCGGTTCCCACACCTGTCCTATAATATTCGATCGACTCTCCACAAATGAGAGAGCGAGATGTATCGTCGGATTCGTGCAATACTGGCAACACTCAAAATCTGTGAATTTTCACATTCAGCGTTTGAAAATTTGGGGTTCAGTTTCAATTTTTGATTCTTTTGATTTCCATTGGGCTGAATCGAGTGTGTTTCATTAATTCTTTCAAATTCAGATTAAAAAATAAACAGTTTAACGATTTTCACTGCTTCTTATTTTAGATGTTCTCATTTGTCATTTTTTTTGTCTCCTCTGTATTTGCGCCCGCGACCAATTATAGACGGGTGGTCCGTCATCTATTTTAATTTAAGCTCCCACGGGAATCCAATCAAGAAATCACTTCATCCTTGGCCTTCAGCATAGATATACGTGGTGGTTACCTTCGTACTATTCATTCCTTCACGTTTCAACTTTGATCATTTCCACCATCTTCGCCAGGACAATCGCCACCTTGAACGACTCAACGCATATCACATTTTTTAACACCATTTTTGTTTATTATGGAGATCGTTGAAAACTGACAGTGCTTAGCGATCGACCTGAAAACTGCACGGCTTGCTTCATGATTTGTGTGCATGCAGAAGGGATAAGTTGGGAATAGAAAGAATAGATAGGATGGATTGAAATTTTGTGCACGTTGAAAATGTTAGGAGTGATTTGGGTAAAAATGAGATAATCCTGAAGTGTCGTCCCCCTGGTTTGAAACTGTTTGCTGAACAGCATATCGAGAACACCTAGCATGCGATTATCAGCACAATCACCGCTAACGTTCAATCGCAACCATTTGACCTAAAATGATAAAAATCGAATATAATTAATGCATTGGTTGAAGTAAATCATGTTTACCATTTTCGATTTGAAATCGTTGTCCGCCAGCTTGGCCTCCAGATCAGCTAGCTCTTGTTCTTGTTCAATAGGATCAAAACAAAATAACGGTGGGTCCTCGATGTTCGTCACGCGGGTACTGAATTTTCGGATGGCGTCCAAGATAAATTCATGTTGAGTGGTGATATCCGCTGTCCGCTTATCCAACCGATCCAGCCGGTTGTTTATTTGATGTAATAGTTCAACAATTTCACTCAAACATTTCTGCGTCGGTTTATCTGGTTCCGTCAACGCATCCGGTGTTTGAACAGTTTCGTACGTCACATATTGAACGGTCTGGATATTGTCTTCAGTAATTGACGCAGTGGGTGGTGGTGGAGGAGCTGCTGTTGTTACATACTGAATGGTCTCGACATTTTCTTCAGAGATTGTCTCAAATGCAGCGGGTGGTGGTGGTGGTGGTGGTGGGGTTGGTGTTGTTGCTTGAGGGAGGATTTCATTCCGAACACTTTCTCTTACCTTGATGATGACGGGGGTCGGTGGAGTGGTTGCTTGTGTTGCTAGGGAGACGGATTGATTTTCCAGAACAAACATTTTCTGAAAGATATCGGTTTCGCGAATTTGGTGTTTTCTCTTCCGTTGGATTAGCTGACTGACGTCGGAAGATGATTCTCCGGACAATTCCTCCATCAAACGCTTCCCTTCAGTGAAAGAAGATATAGGATTTCGTCTCACCGTACATCCGAACTTCAGCCATGACTTTTTTGGGCAGCTTTTTTCGTCACGGATCAATTTATTTTGTTCTGCGACACTGTTTGCGTTTGGCCAGAACAAAATGTGTCCACTTTTTGATTTCCGCAACCATTGATCTGGAACGACCGAAAGCTCCTTACAGCCTCGAGCGTTCAATGTTTCCACTACGGCGAATGGTATTTCTGTAAGTAAAATATATATTATTTTATTAAATTTCATTGGGGTTTGCGTTTCACTACTATACCTTGATGATTTTCTGAATAAAAGAAGTCTCAAAACAGATTAATTTAGAACAATTAAGTAAAATTGTTTTGCACTTTTCGAGGTTACTGAAAACTTCTGCGGAAAACAAAACAAGCTGTCAAATGTCAAACGGTGCAAGTTCACAATAAGTTCTGTATGATCTTTTTAGCAACTTTCAAGTTCAGATAGGGTTCTACATAAACTAATTAGATACTTTAAAGTTCAAAAATAGTTCTTACGGAACTTGAAAGTAGATTTGGCTACCCTGAAAACCATTTTTATGAATGAAATCAGCACATCGAGTAAAATAATATGATTTTCCACTTAGTTCACATAGAGCAATGGTATGTATCTCGATTTCAAAGAGGAGGACTCGAGTTCGAGACTTACGGCATTTATTTAAAAACATGTAATTTAAATTAAATATTTCAAACATTTATCTTCCGACGACACAGCAGCTCATAATAAATAAGAAGAGAACGTGGTAAGAAGCAAAATAAAAGATATATTTGTTTTCTATTTTGGTGTGTTGACTTCATTCAAGTTTTCTTTTTAGACTGAATAGCATTCCCTCCAACGGTTAAACGAACCATTTGTGAACTTTCAAGTTCTCTTTAAAAGTGAAACAGCATTCTGTTAGAAGCTTAAACATCGAATGTGAACTTGAAAGTTCGGTTAATTACTTAAAAAGTAAGCTGAACAGAATTCTATTCATAATCCTGCGATTAGCTGATTAAGCCAGAAAAGGGCTTTTATCCGAACTTTTGGTGTGGATTCATCAACTACCATCGGACTTGTCACTGTGATTAATGTTACAGTAATGGTTTCTGGTTGATCTGTAACTTCAGCTGGAGCAAAGGCATCATCACTGAAGACATTTCGATTGTATGGCCAAATACCACTTTTTCGAAAACCACTCGTGGCCACCCATCAATTCGGTGACGTCATATAGTCCAATGGTTCGTCCAGGGTATTGACGCATGAAGTCATCAGAAGCTCTCGCGTAGTAACTTTTAAATGGTCCCATGAAAGCCACATCCAAGGGCTGCATTTTGTTACTGCAATGTGGTGGCAACACGAGAACTGTAACAAAATTAGAAGAGCTCTTTCAGCAAATGCCAGATTTTTGGTGTGGGAGCTGTGACCATCAATTATCAGGAGTGCAATGTTTTCCTTCGTAGGGTTTACGTTTACCAGAAAGTGGTTAAACCAGTCGAGGAAGATTTCACTGGTCATGTATCCGGAAGGATTGCAGTTGAACTTCGTGCCATTCGGTGCTCCTTTTTTAAGCGCATCGTGCATGCGTACTCGGGGGAAAATCATGAAAGGCGGCACATGTTGCCCTGACGCGGACATGCACATCATTACGGTGGTTAATACACCTCTCTCACCAGATGTTATGGACCCTACTTGCTTCTTGCCCTTCTTAGCAGCAATTTACATCTTTTTCGGAGGGACCTGTGTTTGTTACAATGCCATAAGTAAATTTTATTAAATTCACCGTGCTAATACCGGTTTCGTCAGCATTGAATATGCGTGACGGAGGAAACTGCTTGCTGTCCAATGTGTCACCAAGAATGTCGTAAAAAGCACCCACGGAAACTTTGTTAAAACCTTTTGCTCGAGCCGCAGATGTAGCTTCAGGTTTCCGAAAGGAAAGGGTTTGATTCCACTTAAGAAACCCCTCTAGCCAGTTTCTACCTGCCATCTTTAGTTTGTGACTGAACGGATGAGGTAAGCCGTTCCGCTCAGCTAACTCATATGCCAGCATTTGAACATCCCTCATATTGATGCCATAGAATCGGGACTCCAGATCAAGCAAATGTTGCACCAGTTCCATTTCCTGTTCAGTAAAGAACATCGATGTTTTCGATCATAGGCGTTTCTTCTTCTGCGGTGAAGCTATCCACCTGGCGAGCGTGATCCTTGGGATCTGGTATTTGATAGATGCAGCTCTTACAGACATTCCGGCATGTTTTGCCGCTGCCATTTGTGTGTCTGTCCATGTTTGTCTTTGCGTTTTTATTTTATAAACCCCTAGGCATCTGAAAATAAGCACACTGTTCATTTTACCCCCATCATGAATTGTTTTCGAGTGCTAATTTAAAACGAATTATTGATGAAAATACTTACAATCTTCGATAAATCCGCAGGAATACGTCAAGTTAACGAAACTGATGGCTATATGTGGTTAGATTTTGATTTTTCACTTTCAAAAAGCTTATTTTCTGCGAGCGTGAATCTTCTTCTTCTTCTTCTTCTTCTTCTTCTTCTTCTTCTTCTTTACTTTATTTAAAGAGCGGTTCCACGAACAAGTGGGAAATTTTTCCAGTTTTTATTTTTTGTATTTTTTGATTTGCATGAAACCTTGCATACAAGTTTTTGGGGAAGAAAAACGCCGTTTTGCATACTTGGTTCGCCATTTTGAATCTAGCCTTACTTATGAGAAGGGCCTAAGAAAAATGCACATGATATCTTCAAAAAATTGTATCTCGGAAACGGTTTGTCCGATTGGTTTGGTGTATTGGGCGAAGTTTTAGACAATTGTTGGTGTTATATGGAGAAAATATGCACGGTAAAAAAAAAAAGTTTGGTATTTGTGTTTTGAACTAAAATATAAATTTTTCCTTAAAGTGACATGTCAATAATTTTTTTATTATCCTTATGTTATAGCTGACTGAAAATGCTATCTAGTGCACAGTAGGTTGTTCTGGAGAAAAATAGGTTACAATGAAAAAAATTGTTTTTTTATAAAAATACAATTTTCAAAAAAGCTATTAAGAAAAGTCAAAAAAGTTTGTCACCCTAATTTTATGAAAGTACATCAAATTTGCAAACAAAAAGTACTTCGGTAACATTTTTCTAAGATGCACCGTTTAGAAGATATTACTGATTTAATATTGTTTTTTTTGATAACCTAATAAGTTTTGGCCCTTTTCGGATGTACTCCGTGTTTTTTCAGATTCAAAAGCATTTTTTTCGGAAATATTGGAAAATTTTGAGTTAAAATGACACTGACAGCTTAAAGATTCGAGTGAAATTCTCTGCCTTAAAAGTATTTTGAAAAACAAGTTACAAAATCCCACTATCAGGAACAATGATTTCTTCAAATGATTTTTGGTGCGTTGTGCTGAAAACGTGCTAACAAGTATTAGATACAGGTAATCAGATACCAGTTAGCTGTACTACGTACAGTTGGTGATTGTAAACATGGTCTTTGTTGGAACTAGTCCACCATGGCCACGCTGGCCATAACGAGGCTAGCTCCGTCGTTGACCGTTCCTTAATAATAAATAAAAAGAACGCAGTAGTCACCTTCCATCAAACTAGAGGGCTGCCGACTGATACCTCAATCAACAACCGCCGCACTCTTTATTCATTCCAGGTATAATATACAATATACCTACGCCAGCAAATCTACCTCGCTCCAACTCTCCAAACTCGTACCTGAAGGATCGACGATACCTGAGCGTTCAACTCTACCTATCTTCCAACAGTCTTTACCCAGCATTCTATGATTTCTACCCGTGAGCTGTATAATAATGTCTGACTCGGTTCTGAATTCATCCAGTATCTACTAGGGAAAACCAAACAGTAAATGCAGAAAGGTTGCTAGTAGCATAGTGATTATAGTAATTTCAGCTCATAATCCTGTGTTTTTGAACGAGATCCAGTGTTGTTTGATAACATAATAATTGTAAAGGAAAGTGTAACACGTTTTGGTGCAAAGGTAAGTTTTAAATACACATTTTAATGATATGTTTTGTGATATTTTCGTACAAAACTAACAATTGGAAAATATTTTCTATGTTACAGATTACAAAATGAGTAAAATAAGATGTATTCGCCCATTCAAAGACATTCAGTGTTCGAAAGAGCTGCGATATCTCACGGATGGTATCATCCAAAAACTAAAATCAATTGGATTTTCCAAGGTATCCACACTGAACACCAAGGATTTTCGTGTTTGTTCGTCTTGCCGTCTACATATTGATTCAAGAGCTCACCTCACCCAAAACGAGGAACAAAGCGTAGCCGGCGGCTCAAGGATGCCAACTGTTCAGACCATACCTGATGTACCTGATTCGCAAAGCTATGAAAGTTTGGTCACGATACCATCAGAGTCAACGCTAAGCACAATTAAATCAAATGAAGACTTCACGATGCCTGTAGACGTCGAAATATTCAACCGAGGAATAGCAGCTATTCGTGTTTCGCCTATAGATTTAGGTAAGGTTAAAAATGTTCACTATCCTGAAAAAAAGTGCGCTGAAATCGTCGAAGGTGTACGAAGAAATCTTTTTAAATTAGACGCTGAAACAGAAAAAGCAAACGAGTTTGATGAAGTCATAGAAAATATGAAAATTAAATTTTTAAATTCAGCCACAAGGCAAGAAAAACTATCAATTTTATCATTGTTGCCAAAATCATGGTCAGTACAAAAAATTGTAGACGAATTTAAAACCAGTAGAAATATGGCATCAGATGCAAGAAAGGAAAGAGATAATGTATTTGATTCATCTCAAGGTTCAAGCTCTGGAAAAGCTTTGAGTAATGAAACAAAAGAACTGGTTTTGATTTTTTTTTTGAGGACGATGATATAAGCCGTGCAATGCCAGGCCAAAGAGATTTTGTTAGCGTAAAGACAGGAAATAAGAGATTAGCTGTTCAGAAAAGATTGTTAATGATGACATTGAGAGAAGCTTTTAATCGCTTTAATGAAATGTACGTCAATGTAAAAATAGGGTTTTCATCATTTGCAAGCCTCCGGCCAAGGCAATGTAAACTATTGACTATCACAGGAAAACATAATGTTTGCGTTTGCACTACGCATGAAAATGTCAATTTAATTCTACATAGCTTAAAAAAATACAATGTCTTGAATGATCTAAAAACATTAACGAATAGATTACTTTGCGAAAATAAGACAACTCATTGC